AATGACCCAAAAATAATGTTATCGAAACATGACAGATCTTCTTTATTTCTGTCATTATTTTTTTTTTTTTAATTTCGGTGAATTTCCTCTTTTTGAGACAAAAGACGTTCTCTTTCGCTGATTCCCAAAGAACAAATATTGCCGACATATCCAATAACTTTCGTAAACAATTCTTATCAATATTTGCTTACTTTGCGTTTTTCATCTATTGCGCTGAGTGTATTTGCGGCTGAAGGCTACATCACGTTGAAACACAGGTTCTCGTACGATTACCGAAGTTAAGCAGCGTCCAGTTTAGTCAGAACCTAAGATGAGTGACAGCTTGGAAATACCAAGTGCTGTAAGAGATAATGGCGCGGAATTCTTAATCGGAGAGCTGGGTTCCAATTCCACTTGAATCCGTTATATTCACTTACAGGCAAATACCCTTGCAAAAGATATGAATCCACCTTTTCTCCCCCCAGTATGGGTTAATTAATAAGACTTGTATCACTAAACCATTATCATCTCAAAAAATAAATTCTTAGAAATAGAAATATTTTCTGGCTTTAAATAACCTGCAAAAGGTTGATAAGCCGTAGAAAATGAATGAATGAATCAACCAATGAATGTATTTGCAATCTTGTTCTTTCAAATAAGTGTTTTTCTTTTTAAGCTGAGTAAACATTTTTGAAAACTTGTACTTGCGTATAATACGACCCACTTTTTAGCCTTTAATTTCAATTTCAAAAACCAATTCTTACAAAATAAAAATATTTTCTGGCTTTAAATAACCGGCAAAGAGTTTGATAATCCGTAAAAAACGAATCAATCTATCAATGAGCGAATTTGTAATCTTGCTGTTTCAAATACATGTTGTTGTTTTTTTTTTGTTTTTTTTTTAAGTTGAGTAATAATTTCTGAAAACGTGTACTCGTGTATAATACAACACCGTCCTTATTGCCTTTCATTTTCGTTGAAAATTTCTCCTATTATACACAAGAATATACGGTTATACATTGTCAACGTTTAATTCTAGTCAAACCCTCCAAATGTTCTATTTTTAGCCATCCCTTTTAAATTATTGATTATTTTTTTAAATGACGAAGGTTCTTTATATTCCATTTTCTTTATTATCTGTGAATTATCATGACTTCTTGGGGAAGATAGTGGAACGGTTTCACATTGCCTTTCGTGCGGTGTTGAA